CAGGCAGGACACCATGTGTGAGCCCTCTGCCTAGGGCGGGGTGCTAATTCAGCCTCCTTGGGTCCTGGAGCCTGGATCTGGCTGTGACAGGCCACTGTGGGGGGCCAGAGGAGAGTGAGCTATTGTTGACACTGATTAGCTGAGGCCTGACCACCAGTACAGACCCCTATTGTCCGTGGAGCCCTTGGGAGTACCTGGCTTTGTCTGGATGGCTTCCTGAGCGACAGACTCCATTAAGGAAGGCCGATTAAGCGCCTTCAGGCGGTTTCCAGGTAAGGGAGCCTCTCCGCCCTGCATTAGGCTGATGAGTTGTGCTAGTTAACCTAGTCCACCGTTTTAGAGTTTACAATAGTTTGGAATGGCCTACAGCAGGGTTAAGCTGTGGATTAGGGCAGGTGGGCTTGAAGGGCTCAGCTACTACTTTTGCACATCTTCCTGGGAGTCCCAGGGAGCTGGAGGAGGCTTGACCTGCTGCCCTATCACTCTGCTTTCCAGGCTGGGACAATTTCAGAGAAATGACAATTTGTCTCTTTCCTTTATCAAGCCTAGTGGAAGCTTTCCAAGGTGCCTGTCCAAAACTGGATATGCTTTTGGGTCTGACAACGATGACGCCTTCCTCCCAAGTCCAGAGGCTAAGATCTTCTCTGAACTTTCTCTAACTCACTAAATTTTTTGCTGGGACAGCTGAGATTTAATTTCCGGACCAGGACACATGAAGCCTTGTTTAAAATCTGTCATGTGTCTAAGGGTGTGAAAAACTGGGATAATCACATTTCACAGCTCTCCTCCAGCCCTCCACTCCACAGACTTTTAAAAGAAGCCTCATCCCTGCTCCAGGTGGGTGAGGGGCGGAGTGCTTTTGTTATTCTTTCTATCATATGCTTAGAGAAAAATCCCCTCTCCCGGGGCTTTGGAAGAGGCTCCTTCTGCAATCCTACAAATCTTAGCCTCAATGAGAAAATGTCCCAATTATGAAAAACACAACTTGCATATTCAGTCAACCAACATTCATTTATTAAGTGCTTACTGTGTGCCAAGCACTGTGCTAAGTGCTGGAGATACAAAGAAAAGAGGGGGCAGTCCTGGGCCTCCAGCAGCTCCTGCTCGAATAGGGGAGATTACATGCAAATAACTAGATACATTTAAAATACTTATAGAGCAGATGGAAGGTAATCTCGCAGGGGAAGACCCCAGCTAGAACAGCATTAGAATACTATGCTAAAAATAGGAGGCTCACTTCCATTGTCTGTTCAACCCCAGTTAATTCTTACCCCAGTGGCAAGTATCCCAAATGTTCTTCCTTAAGTAATAGCGTGGATAGAGGATGTTAAGTAATCAGTCAGCATACACTTATTAAGAAGTTACTGGGTGCTGGGGAAATAGAGACAAAAGCAGAAACAGGAATTTGTAGGCTGAATGGAGAAGACAATGTATACAGATACCATACACAAAATACGTGCAAGGTTGGTGTATACAGGCCCATTGATTGAGAACTAGAAGGGAACTGAGAAGCTGTCTAGGCCAGTATCCTTATTTTACAGATGGGGAAACTGAGGCCCAGAGGAGGAGACTCATTTTCCCAGTCTCACAGGTAACAAGTGGCTGAGATGGGGTTTGAACCTGACTGTAGTCATAAAGTTAGGTTTTCTTTTTGTAACTGTATTTTATTTTTTCCCTTTTTCTATTTCCACATTAGCCATGTTGCAAAAGAAAACACATTAACAAAAGGAAAGTGAAAAAAATGCTTCAATCTGCACTCAGAGTTCAATGGTTCTCTAGAAGTGGGTGATATCACTCATCATGAGTCCCTTGGAATCATCTTGATCAGAGCAGCTAAATCTTTCACAACTGATTATCATGTAAGTATATTTTAAACTCTAGGACTTTGAGCTGAATGTGTGCCTTTCCCTCCTTTCTACCTTACACTACACTTCTCATTTTCCATTCTATATCCTGTACAAAGGGACAGCTAGGTAGCACAGTGGATAGATTGCTGGGCCTGGAGTCAGGAAGACTCAGCACCTTCTCATTTGAAAAGTGAAATTCTCCTGTTTCGTCTTCCACTTGGGTTGGTCAGCTGGGGGTTGGACTAGTGATGCTGAAGGCATCCCTTCCATCCCTGAGGTTCTATCCTTCTCCCTTCTTCTCCCTGCCTCTCCCCTTCCCCAAAGCAGTCCCCTGCTCTGGAGTTCTGGCTTAGACTAGTCAGTAAAGGAAGTCCTTTGGTGAGTATGTTTTAATTAATATTCACGAGTGACCAAAAAAGTCCTATTATTGGAATTTGCTCTTCATAATGGACAAAGTGACATTACTCAAGATACTAGTTAATGATTAAACTACCAGGTCATGACAGAACTACAGAGAAAAGATTTGATTGAATGTGTTTGACATATGGACCACTTAGTCTAAACATCTCATTTTACAGATGAGGAAACTGAGGCCTAAAATGGTGAAATGATTCACCAGAGCCAAGACTTGGACCCAGGTCTTCTCATACAAATCTGGAGCTCCTCTGACTGTCTTGTGCTGGTAGCCTGTAGCCCACACTGTGATTTATTTTCACACAGGGACACACTCCCCAGTAGCCACTGAGAAGGGTAGCAATAACCACGATGCATTGGCAGTGTTTAACAGCTTGCAAAATACTTTCCTTGACAGTTATCTTATTTGATCCTCCTAATAACCTTATAAGGCAGATGGAGCGTGTGTGTGTGTGTGTGTGTGTGTGTGTGTGTGTGTGTGTGTGTGTGACTATTTTGTACCCATTTGGAAAGGCCAAGTGACCTTACCCAAGCTTCTATTGTTAGGTTAACTAGGGTAGACTAGGCTTTCCTAGCTCACTGGTTCCACAAAGGCCTGTCTTCTGGGAAATTTGAAGAGACAAGGAAACAATTATTACTAGTCATGCTTCTGATGATGAAACAAATACCTAGGAGTTTAATTTGAGAACCCAATGTCCAACAGAGAAGAGAGCAATCTGTCAATGGCCATCTCTAAACCGGGATTCCATTTAAAGATTTCCCATGTCTGAAGTGCATCATGGTGAAATTTTAGCAAGCATTCCATGGTTCCAAAAAATTACAAACATGTTTGCAAACAGAACACATTTCTAAAAGGTAAGCAAAAATGTGATAGATTGAAACAACTACCCTGAAGAACAGCTCACAAAGTAAAGGGGACAATGAAAGTTATCATGCTGCAGCATAGGCAGTATATGTCCCATCCAATGTAGCTAATTTACTGACATTTGTATGGCTTTTGAAGGATTCCAAAGTACTTCATAGCACCTGTCTCATTTGGAGCGTCACAACAATCTTGTGATGTCATAAACAGCTATTATTGTAACCACATGAGAAAACTGAGGCTCAAATTGGCCACGATGACACAGCCAGTAGATGTCAGAGTTGGGATTACAGTCCAGATCTCTCCTGACTTCAGGCTCAGCAATAAGCATTTATTAAGCACCTACTATGTTCCAGGCACAGTGCTAAGTGCTGGGAACACAAAGAAAAGCAAAAGCTAGTCCCTGCCCTCAAGGAGCTCACCATCTAATGAAGGAAACAATGTACGAATAACTATATATGAACAAGCTACATACAAGATAAATAGGAGATAATAAGCAGAGGGAAGGAGTGAGAAGACACAGTGCACTGTGCCATGTTGTCTCTGACTGTGAAGCACTCATGGATCACTCACAGTCGCAGCCTTCTCACTCTGAGGTCCTGGATAACAATTGCTGCATGCCCTTGGCTTGTCACTTAACCCCTCTAGACACTGAGTTTCCTCATTTGCAAATATAAAGGGCTAGCATGACATCCCTTTTGAGGTCCCTGCCAGCTGGAAAGCTTAAGCCTTAAGTTAAATTGATAGGGTTTCCCAGGTCAAAAAGTTTGAGGGAAGGCAGATTACTGCAGGAAAAGAGGGTTGCATTTATGGTCAGACAGCCTGGGTTCAAATCACATCCATGTGACCTTGGGCAAATGCCTTCTTTTCTCTGGGCTTTCCTTTGCTTATCTTGATGAATGTGGCTGGATCTGATCATAACAGAGCTGGACAGTTCCTTAGAAGTTCTCCAGTTCAGAGCCCTCATTTTATAGATGAGGAAGCCGAAGTCCAGAGGGGTTGAATAACCCAGGATCACCCAGCTAAAAGTTGGCCGAGCCAGAACTGGAAATGCTGTCCTCTAAGGCCAAATCCTGGGCTCTTTTCACCACGCTTCCTCTAGGGGGTTTTAAGGTCCCTTCTAGATCTAAATGTATGCTCTATCTCATAGTCTCCCCAAGACATCTCTCCATTGGCAGCTAAAGTTAGAGAGCTGGCTACTAAGTCTCACCATGAAGTTTTCTTTCAACGCACTACCGGGGGAAATGACCATCATGTCATTTGGACTTTTTCCCTAGAACTCTACTGAAAAGGCACCCAGACCAGGGGAAAGAAATCAGTGTGTATTATCTTATGAAGGTGATAGAATTAAAATGCAGAATGAGAAACATATTTTTGGACATAGCCAACACATGAGTTGTTTTGCTAGACCACAAATATTTGTTGAGTTTTTTTTTAATTTAAAAACATTGTTCAAAGATGAGTGCAGGGGGGCAGCTAGGTGGTACAGTGAATAGAGCACTGGCCCTGGAGTCGGGAGGACCTGAGTTCAAATCTGGCTTCAGACACATAACACTCACTAGCTGTGTGACTCTGGGCAAGTCACTTAACCCCAATTGCCTCACAAAAAAAAATTGAAAAAAAAATAATAAAAAAATTTCAAAGCCAAAGATGAGGCAGTGGGAGACAAAGATAAATTTCTGCTCTAAAACAAATACATAAATAGATAAACAAATAAATAATGGTCTCATGACTTCATCTATTACAAACAAAATAAGTTAACTCATGTATTACACTAAATTTGCTCCAAAAGCACCACTTTAATGAAAATGTTTATTAAAATATATAGAAAAATCCTTTTTTTTTCTTTCCCAGAGTGCTCTGATATAATATGTGTCATGTTACAGGAATGGTTATTTACAATGTCTTTTCAGGAAAAAAGAATAACAGGTAATTCAGAATGAGATGCGGTAAATAAAAACATTCAATTTCTGATGCTAGGGCACTCCACTGGCTCTTCTGCTAGGCCTGTAATTGAAATACAGTCCCAAAGACTCTATCTCCTTCCTATTTGGAGAGATTTGTATTCAAACTGCTTTTCACCATCAGAAACTGGGATTCTCTGTGGGATCTTTTCAGCTTTGCACGGCGATTTTGGAACCAAATCTGAAACAAAGGCAAACCAGAAGAGCATTTATTATCTATTTACTATTATTTCCTTCCTGGATTGCAGTTTGTCTCGTGAAAGCATACTCTCACCTAACTGTAATATGTATGTCCCAGCCCCCGCCTGACCCATGGCTGCTCAGTGCCTCTCAGGGTTCTGATTGTTCTTAACACATCAACCAGCATAAATTACAGACTCTGGAAAATTACCTGGATTCTATCTTCCTCCAAATTCAATTTCCGAGCCAAGTCTTCTCTGACATCAATACCAGGATAGGAGTTTACTCTAAACACATTTTCCAATACTTCAATCTAAGGAGTTAATTAACAATCAAGTGTTATCATTCTTAATTTTGCTGAAAGATTCAGTTGGTCAATGTAAAAATTAACTTTAAAAATACGTCCATGAAAGTCCCTTTATGTCTTTTAATAGAGATAGACACTGGATCCCTGATTTCGTTGCTACAAGTGAGAAAACTCCCTTCACCAATGCAAGTCCGCATCTCCTCTTCGGATGAGCTATACAGCTTTTAACAGTTGTCTAGAACACTGAGGTTAAGTGACTTGCCCAGGGTCATACAGTCAAGTGTCAAAGATCTTCTGATTCCTTTTAATAAACCATTAAAAAATGGAGCTCATTAATGTGAGTACTCTCTCCAATGATGCAGGATGCAACCCATCCATATCAGTCCATCCTGTAAGACTCCTGTTTGTAGAAAAGTGTATAGCATGCCATTTAGTGGACAAAGACTCAAAGCCTAAAATAAAGAGATGTCGTTCCAGCAACAAAGCAATTAGCCATATCCGGTTCTTACCTGGTTCCTGGTAAAAGCAGTTCTTGGTCTCCTGCCTCGGTACCAACTCAACTCTCTTTTAAAAGACAGTCTTTCTGAGGCTGATACATATTTCTCATATTTCAATATCCTTTCTTCTGATATAGGATAATTCCCAGGGTGAGGGAGCAGGCTGCTGCTGGGCAAGATGGGGATGGATAGGCGTGGATTCCCATCTTCTCCTGAAACCAGAAAGACAATGCAGAAAGACACTTCTAAAAGTTCTTCATGAAGTTCCTGAACACAAATCCTCTTCAGTTTCTCAGATGATCTCCCACTCATTAGCTAAGAACAAAAGATGAAAGTAAGGGTCATGCCTGAGATGGATTCAAGGAAACATTTTGTCTCCTGAATTGGTCATTTTCAAGGCATTAAAAACAGACACCATTGGACAGTGTCTGCTAGGTTACCTGACCACACAGTGAGTCAGGGAGGGGTGAGATGGGGTGCAACACTGAAGAGCGTGGGCTCAAAGGGCATACTTCTTTCCAATTTATTGCCTGGCAACTGACATCATCTTTATTCTTTCCAGTGGCCCCTGGCTGGGTTCTTTGTAATTGAACAAATGAAGTGACATGATAGACTTAATGGCATCTCCATCCCTCTTTCTCTCTGTGCTCTAATTCTATCTGGATCTCTCTGTCTGTCTCTGTCTCTGTTTCTCTTTGTCTTTGTCTTTTTCTCTGCCTCTTTCTCACTGGATCCCTGGTGTGTGTGTGTGTGTGTGTGTGTGTGTGTGTGTGTGTGTGTGTGTTGTTTCCTCTCTCTCCTCCTTTCTCTGTTCTCTTTCTCTTTCTGTCTGTCCCTTCTGTTTCTGTTTTACTCTTTCTCTATCTCTTTGTCTCTGTCTCTGTCTCCCTCTGTCTCTCACACACACACAATTATGCTACCCTGCCCCCTCAAGTCTGTTTTTCCTGAGTAGTCACTGACAAATAATCAAACATCCCCACCTCTGCAGAAGGACAGAGAAAGAAAGTTTAGGAAGGGGACCTACCTAAGGGGCAGCAGGGATCTGTCCAGAGCTTGGCAGGAGGGATAGGGGGGTTGCTCTCCTTCTTCGGCTCTAGTCCCAAAATGCTCTCGATGGAAAAGGAGCGAGGGGAGGCCTTGCTCTCGGCCACGCTGGGCCGGGTCCGGGAACTGGCGGTTGCGCAGAGAGCCATGGCTATGGCTGCGGTGGCCCCCCACCCCACCTCCGCGCCGTTGAGTCCAGAGTGCGCTCCGAAGGGCGCATGCACGCCCGCCTGGTAGCCCAGGCTGCTGGAGCGTTTCAGCACCCCGCCGACGGACAGGGACTCTCCAACCCAGCGCTCTTGTGTCCTTTATAGTCCCGGACCCAGATCTGGGGGGAGGCTAGGGAAGGAGGAGGGGGTTAGGGAGCTCACGTCATAGCTTAAATCTTGAGCCTGGGCTAGTCAGCACAGGCGTCCCCACCGAGTTGGAGGCTGAGAAGCTAATTGTTTACTTGTTTGCAAGTAATTAGCAGCTAATGGCCCCCTCTGGGGGTCGCCTCCTTCCACCACCCCCGCCCCTAGCTGGTGGTCAGGGATTCGGCTAAGGCGTTATCGCTGCCTAGCAGCAGCCCAGAGGCTGTGGAACTTTCTCCCCAGCCTCCGGGCAAGTCCCACGCGGGGCCGTCTCCTTTCTGCCAAGTCACTAAGGTAGAAAATCGGGCTTTTTCCCTTCTGAACTTAAGACTTACATTGACTCCAGGTACCTGAACCCGGCGGTCCGATCTCGAGCCAAGCAAAGAGTGAAGCATCTCATTTAAGGAGATTTTCTTCCAGGGAAATTTGGAAGAAGAAAAAAAACAATAATCCCTTAATACTATTAGGGTAAGCCTGATGAAAATGCCGGGGGGGGGGGGTTCTTATGCATATGTCAAGGCAAATGTGGTCAATAAACCCACAATAGCAGGGAACTGGAGAGCGGCCCCACCCTCCCGAGGTGGCAAAGTCATTAAAACGCAGTGCCATTGTCTTTCCAGAGCCTGGATTAGCTCCCGAAAACAGAGGAATGGAGTATTCTCCATCAATAATCCTTCACTGGCTCAGTCCTTCTTTCCATTAAATGAAGTCGGTGACAGTTCAGCTCAAGAGAAGACAAGCCAAGTAACTTAACCTCCCAAGCCTCAGTTTCCTTCTCTGAAAAATGAGCGTGTTGGACTACAGGTCCCTTCCAGCTCAAAATCTACGTCCTCATAGAGGAAGACATTAGAGATCACATAGTCCGATACCCTCAGTGTGAGACAGAGCCAAGAAGTGATTGTCCAAGTGACCAGCCAGTCAGGCTCTAAGCCCACGGTCTCCATGTGGCTTTTTGGCTAGGATCATAGATAAAGAGCTGGAAGGGACCTCAGGTCATTTGGTTCACTTGCCAGATAAAGAAACTGAGGGTCCCAGGTGACAGTACAGCAAGAGCAGAGTTAGATTGGAACCCAAGCCCCCAGACTGCAGATTCAGAACTCATTCTACTGTATTTTGGCTTTGTTACCCAAAAGCAAAACAAAAGCAACTTTTCCTCTCTTTCTTTTTCTTTATACTCCCCAATGAGCTTTCTAGTATTAGAACCCCTCCCCCGTTAATGTAAGTATTTGTAAAAGGCATCTCTCTTTGTCTCCCACCTCTCTCTCCCCCTTTCTTCTCCCCACACCTCCTTTGTGCTCTCCTCTTGGTCTCTTCATCCCACCCTCTTTCCCACCGTTCTCCACTCTCCTCCCTCCTCTCCCTTTCTCTCTCTCCCTCTCTCCACATCTCTCTGTCTGAGTCTCTCCTCCTCCATTTCACCCGTATCGGACACTTTCTCTGTAAAAATTTCCTTCCATGATGCAAATTTGCAAATCATTTTTATTGCATGATTCCAAGAAAACTCAAATTTCTGATCAGACGAACATAGTTTTAGGGATGGATGGATGGATGAGACCTTAGAATTCCAACTCCTTCATTTTGTAGGAATATTTCTGTAAGTGACTTAAAGATCTGGAGAGGGTTAGCAATTAAATGAATGATGGGGGGCGGGGTGTTTGTTTTTCTGTACCTGAGAGAGAACCAGAGAGACTCTTACTCAGTTAGAAAGTCGCCCAGATTGGACACCTAACTCTCTTTTCCTGGAGAGGGATTCTTAACTTTTTCAGTGCCCTGGACCCTCTGGCAGCAGTCTGGTGAAGCCCCCTTCTCAGAATCACCTTGTTAAATGCATAAAATAAAACACCTGGGATGATAATGGAAACCAATTCAGTTGAAATGCACTTACCAAAATATTTTTAAAAACTAAAAAGCTGGTGAACTCCAATCTCAGAACTTCTGTCCTTCCTAAAGGGAAGGGTAAAGGGGTTGGATTCTGATTGTATAAAGGGAGCCAGTGGGCCTGTCACATTAAAAACCCTATTCTCCTTTAATTTCTCACCCTACCACCTCCAAAGAGCATTCTTGCAACTTCTCCACCTGCATCCCAGCTAAGCTGTGATCTTCTGTCCAGAGACAATCTCACCTAGAAAACAAACATCAACAGAAACAGATAGGAAAGTGTACAGGAGGGAATAAGACCAGATATCCACATTTACAGAAGGTGTAGGTTTTGTGCGTAGATCATGCCTTGCACTGTGGAAGAGATGCGTTGATCTTTGCAATAGGAGGCAAGGAGTGGGAAAGCATCATGTTTCCCTTAATCTGGGAAGGCTTTTGGAAGGAGATGGGTCTTCAGGAGGTTTTAGGAGAAGTGGAATGTCATGGGGGAGGGAGGGGAAGAGAATGACAAAGAGCTGTGTGACAGGTACCATGGAGTTTATCATGGGGATTTATTACCATTCACAGCTTTGCCTGGAATGCCCGTTTTCTCCTGATATTCCAATAGAAAGGCAGATGCTTGAGGAAAGGAATTGTTTCATTTTTGATTTTGTATTCTCAGCACCTACCATGGTGCCTGGCACATGGTAGATGCCTAATAAATGTTTGTTGATGTAACAGTTCTGGGCAAGGAGTCACCAAACATTGATTTGGCCTCAGGGTAGAATCATCCACATATATTTTATGACTGGACAAGAAGCATTCTTCACCCACCTAGTTTTCACTGTGGATACTTAGTGTAAATTCTTTGGAGTGAAGTCACAATTAGTGTATTATTAGTATAATAGGTACTATTAGTATATTATTATTATTTGTTGTAGCCATTACAGTATTTCCCACCAAAGTCCTCCTTCTCCATGACTCATGAATAGTGGTGATTCTTGAAGGCTAGTCCAGGGGAGCACAACCCCAACAGGTGTCAACAGGGAGACGAGGAAACTGAATCTCAGAAGGGTCAAGACACATCGGGGGTGGGATCTGAACTCAGGCCCTCATCAAATAAACTCTTCTGGGACTGGAGAATGCTCAAAGGCCATACGAGAGAAGCACAAATCCTACCAAGTGGGGATGGTTTGGAGGGTGAGCCCAGAGACAGGCTATATGTTTTCCTCCAAGGACCAGCCCAGCTAAGTCCAGAGAAACCCATCCCCAGGAGCCTGGCCACCAGGTGAGGAATTTCTTTTGGCCACAGCAATTTCTGAGGAACATAGAGGCAGCCTGGAGGGGCTGCAATCACCTTTGGGGACCAACTTCATCCTCCCTCATGTATCTTTTTGAACTAGTGAAATATAATCAGGGCTTTAGCAAAATTGTTCTGAGTCTGAGCTTTTATGATTCTGCAGCATCTTATTAAACAGTCATTGGTTCAACAGATTTTCATACTTATTAGGAAATTATGAAATACGATTTGCATGTAGAAAGAGATGCCTATTCTCCCCCACCTGCATATTAAAAGATTAGTTTTGGTCTGACACCTGCCTTTAGAGACTAGAGTTCCACTGGATCTGGGTGATAATAGCGATGATTGGCATTTATGTGCTTATTTGATGTTTGCAAAGTGATTTCCCCACATTATCTCATTTAAGGTTCTCAAACCCCAGTGAGGGAAGGGCTATAAATATTAGGAGCTCCACCTAACCAAGCAATCAGAGGCTCAAGGGGGGCAGAAAGGACTGGCCCAACGTCACACAGCCAGTGGGTGCCAGAGTGTGGTCTTAATGAATTTTTTTTTCAAAAGTCACAACAGTATAGCAGGGGTCACTTTACCATCAACAGCCATCAGAGTGAAGTAGAGGGTGGGGCATACATGTCTATCCCACAGGCTCGTTCCAGCACGTGGGGGCCATTTCCAGTCGTCTTGCTACTGAACCCAGAAGGCTCAGGAAGAGATAGTGGAGCTGGCAACTTTGCACTGCCCTCCCTCACTTAAATCCAATTCACTTGCATGTCATGGTCTCACCTTCCTGATGTCATGGTCCTCTTCGAGAACAAAGGACAAACAATGACAGTAACAATTCTAGCACATGCTCTGACTCCCCCAGTCAAGAGACTGCAGAATTCTAAGAGGTCCTTAGTTAAGGGTCTCTAAGTAGCAGGCAGAGGTGGTCCAGCTTCCCAGTCATTCAGGGACAGGCTCAAACTATGCAATAAAGTTTTCTCTCAATTCCCACAATGGCATAGTTTTCTCACAAGACAGAAATTGGACCAGACCCATAATTGAATAGAGAGGGAGAACTGATTTAACTCTAGAATTGAGTCACAAGATGGAGTCAGTGGGGTTCACCCAATTCCCACAACCACCACTAGCTGTCCTAATCCCCTCAATTCCCTCACCCCCTAACAGAGGTAGAAAGCATTAGGTTTTGGGGGTGTCATATCACACCATTGACAGTGATTGAGCTTGTGGCCCACTAAAACCTGCAGATCTTTTAAAATTTAACTGTCTCTAGGCTGTGCCACACTCACCTTATATTTGTGAAGTTGATATTTTTAACCCTCTGTATATTTGTCCCTATTAATCATAGACAGCTTGTCATAATGGATAAAGGACTGGCCTTGTTTGGGAAGATCTGTGTTCAAGTCTTGTCTCTATGTTGACTGTATAATCCTAGACAAGTCACTGAACCTTCTGTTGATTCTCTGGAATTGACCTTATCTACAGCTTGTCTGGACACATTGTTCACATGTCATCTCCCCCATTTGACTGTGAGCTTCTTGAGGTCAAAGAATTATCTTTTCCCTTCCTTTGTATCACTAGTGCTTGACATAATGCCTGTAGGTATCCAATAAATGTTTGTTGGCTGACTGTGTGAGAAGCTGCCTCTCTGATGGAGGGAGTTTCCATGACAGAAGTCCTTCATGATTAGTTTTGATACTGATTAAATCCTAAGTCTGAACTGTACCCCTCCAAAAACAAAGAAACAAATACCACTTTGTCTTATTTGATTCAACCCAATGCTCTAGACCAGTGCTATCAAACTCCATTAGAAACAGAAGCCACTTATCTATATGTAAGGATTCTGCTGCTACACACTGACTTAGTTTTAAAATGTGTTTTATTGTTTTAAAATTTATTTTCACAAAAATTTCCCAATTATGTTTTAACACTCATGAGTGTTGCAGGCAGTGTGCGGCCCCAAGTCTATATGTCGGACCCCTTTTTCTGGACCAGGGGTTCCTGAACTTTTTGTGTCATGGACCCCTTTGACAGTCTGATGAACATGGTCCCCTTCTCAGAAGAGAGAGCTCTCAGAAAGTTTTTGTTTTGTTTTGTTTTTTACTTCATAATGGAAGTAAAAGTTAAATTTCACTTGGACAATGGTGAAAATAAAGATATATTTTTTTTCCCATCTAAGTTCACTGCTTCTCTTAAATCTATCCATGGACCCCAGGTTAAGAACACTTGGTCACCAGGGGTGGGGAACCTGCAGCCTTGAGGTCACATGTGGCTGAATCCTTCAGTAAAAGGGATGCACTTGAGGACCTAGAGGACCATATGCGACCTCAAGACCACAGGTTTCCCACCCCTGGTCTAGACTATGAAGATCCTTCTGAACCCTGTCAGTTAGTGGGTTAATCATTTCTCACAGTCTTGTATTATTTGGAGATTTCATTAGCATCATTACCAGCCTTGCCTTTAGGTCAGTGTCTGACAAAAAACATTAAACACAGGTCAAGCGCAGGTCCCTGGAACACTCTACTACAGACCTCCTTCCAAGACAACATTAAGTGGTCATGACTATTCTTTGGATTCAACCACTTGCCCAGTTCTGATTCCACTTAATTTTACTAGCATCTCATCTACATCTGGTCTTTCACAAAAAGCATCAGGCCTTTGCTAACATATGGGACAACAGCGGGAATTAAGAAAGCTGTTGATAGGCTCCAACATTGGGCTGGATCCAATAATGTGCTCTTTAATGGGAATAAATGTAAAGTGGCTTCAGAATTGGGAAGCCCTGGCTCTTAGGGGGAAGAAGAATTAAATTTGTTCTGTTTGGCTCCAAAGGATAAATCTTGGAGTAATGGGTGAAAGTTGCAAAGAAGCAAATTTAGGCTTGATGTCAGGAAAAACTTTCTAAAAATTAGACACCCTGTATAGATAAGGGGTTCCCCTCACTAGAGGTCTTCAGGCAGAACTTTGCTGGCCCCTGTTGGCAATGTCTTAGAAGAGATTCTTCTTCTGACACAGGCCAGACTAGACTGCTGATGTACCTCCCAATCAGAAATTCTGTGATCATTAAATGCTTTGCTAAAATCTAAGTAAATAATATCTACCACATTTTCCTAATCTACCATCGCACTTATCTGATCAAAGAAGAAAACAAAGTGAGCCTGGCATTCTTCATCCTGGATCAAACCATGTGGGTCCTTTGTGATTGCTCTCTCCTTTTCTGCATGTTCATGAACCATCCCTTTAATCATGAATTCTAGAATTTGGCACAAACCAAGCTGAAATTTTGGAGTCTATGGTTTACAAATCCCCTTCTCTTCAGTTTTTGTGTTTTGTCATTTTGTCTATTGTTAATGTCTATTATTATTTTTTGCTTTTTTGTTGCTTTTTATTTTTGTAAATAATGGTGTTATTCAATGGCCATTGGTTAAAAAAAGAAACCTGATGAGTATATATTGGAAAAACACTTGCCTTTTCCAGTATTGCAACACCTATTCTGCTTTCCAGTTTTTCAAGATTATTGACAGTGAGGGGCTCAGCAATCACCCTCATCAGCTCTTTCAGTGTCTGGGCCTCCTGACATTACCTTATGGAAGGCAGCTAGATGTTCTCGTTCTCTCTCTCTCTCTCTCTCTCTCTCTCTCTCTCTCTCTCTCTCTCTCTCTCTCTCTTCTCTTTCTCTCTCTCTTTTAGAATTGTAATTTTTGTTATTCTGAACTCGATAAACATGTGCATACATGAAGATTTCCAGGCATGCTCGAAAAAAAGGATTGCATGTGAAATTGTGAGTCTCTATCTCATACAGATTGGCTTTTCAAAAAGTACAATTTTAACACATTAGTTTCAAAACTGCTCTGCTTATCTTTGTCTCCCTCTGAACTTCCATTCTCTTCTGTGCTTAAAAAAATCTTCCTTAATCTGCTTTTCTTTTTTGGCATCACTCTCCCTATCTCCCCTCCCTTCCTCCTCAGTTCTACCCCCTCCTCACCCAAAGCCCTTCTTCTCTTGTAGCACATAAGCACCATCAAGCAAAGCAAATCCATACAAAGGCTTTGTTTGAAAATGCAAGTCTCATTCCACACCCGAGGTTCCCAGTTTTCTGCCAAAAGGTGGACGGAGCGCTTCTTCATCAGTTCTCTAGAGTCATGACTGGCCAGTTCATTGGTTAGAGTTAAGTCTTTGAAAGTTGTTTTTTTGTTTGTTTTTTTACAATGTTGCTGTTCTTGTACACATTTTCTCCTGGTCTTGCTTATCTCACTCTGTATCAGATCTTTTTTTTTTTTAAAGAAGAGCTTTTATTTTCTCCACTCTGGTGAAAACCATTTAAGTAACTGTTCCTTTGTTCATTCTTGGCTTTTTTAAAAAAAGTTCAGTATTTTATTTTCCCCAATTACACATAAAAACAATTTTCAACATTTGGTTTTAAATTTGAGTTCCAAATTCTCTCCCTCCCTTCCCACCCCCTCAATGAGAGGGCAAGCAGTTTGATATGGGTTATACATGTGTAGCCATGGGAAACATTTCCATATTAGTCATGTTATAAAAGAAAACATAGACCAAAATAAAAACCCAAGAAAAATAAAGAAAGTTAAAAGAAGTATCCGTATCAGTTCTTACAGGTCTTCTGAGGCAGCTTTGGCTCCATCCCTTTCATGATTTCTTATGGCACAATAATATTCCATTCCATTTCCTCAGGTGCAGTAGTTTGGTGGTGGATGTTTAACAACCAGCTCTCCAAGAATGCATGTAAACACACTTTTAAGATTAATCGGCATTATTAACATTCTCTCCACCAACTTCTTAAATCTGTAGATCAAGAAAAAAAAATAAAGTAAACCTCAGTTTGTAGCATTGTTGATTTCCTGGGTTTAAATGCTCACATTGACAATTTAACAATCAGCTTTCTCCAGCATAAATAGAATCTCATTTTGTAGAACAGGAGAGTTTGGATAAAAAGCAGCAGAATTACACAGAGATGGCAGATAACAAAATTTGATTTTTACTTACAAAGGGAAGAGGAGAATGGATGCCAACAGCAAGCAGCCTCAGTGTTCTGCTCCCATTGCCTTCAACCAAGGGCAGCCCCCAGTGGGGGAAGAAGGCTTCTAGACGTGAAACCCCACACACCCATCGAAGCCTCAGAACCTTTCAGGGAGACAAAGAAGACAAAGCGCTGGCTAGCTCTAATAGGAGACTGGCTTGCTATCCATTCACCCAGAGTGGAGCTGAGTGGTGTAGTCAGGACCAATGACATGAGGTTTTGTTGTTGTTCAGTCTTGTCTGACTCTTTGTGAATTTTCTAGGGTTTCTAGGGCTTTTCTAGGCAGAAATACTGGAGTGATTTGTCATTTCCTTCTCTAGCTCATTTTACAGATGAGGAAACTGAGGCAGAGTTAAGTGACTTGCCTAGGGGCACATAGCTAGTAAATGTTTGAAGTCAGATTTGAATTCAGGAAGAAGAGTCTTCCTGATTCTAAGCCCACTGCTCTATCTACTGTGCCACTTGGCAGCCTGGTTATCTTCTACAGCACCTAAGAAGGAGCGAGGAGGGAAGAGGAGGGACATAGGGGATTGTACCTCTAGCTGTGCCAATCAAGCAAAAGGTTGGGGAAGAGGGCAAAGCCCAGTCTCTGGATTTATTAGTCTTGGCAAATCCCTCAGAGTTGAGGCCACGCCAGTCAAACCTTTTTTTCACTGTTGCCCACATTTATTATTGTAATTAACCAAACAAATCACTCCACCCACCAGGAAGGGCCAAGCATCACCACTCACAGAACTGAGCTACCAGCTTACCAAAGGGAGATACTCTCTTATTATCTATCTCCTTCCTTACATTGGGCACCAGCTCCCTATTTACCAGCCACAGTGAAATGATGTATTCTTCAGAAAGACCCAAAGAGGGATAAATTGGACATTGTAGGGTATATGGCTGCCATTTTTAGCTTCAATAACATGTAGAGCCTACAAGATTTTGCTAGGATTTTCTGTGTTCCTGGTTTGCTTCCAATAAAGCCCTGGGCATTAGCATAAGCAGCCTTGGCTCAGGATATTGGCAGGAGGTTTCCGTAAATCAGCCATACAATTAGAATACCCCAAGGCTGAGACACATCGAGCAGTGGGCCTGAACAAAGTCTAATAAGCTAAACTTTAATTTCCTTTGTCTTTCCCCCACTGCCCCCAACCACGAGAAGGATGTGTGTGTGTGTCCCAAGCGTTTCTAGCTCCTGCGATGTCTTAGCTCCCTGTGGTAGGTTTATGACCTAGTAAATCCTAGATGATTAACTATGCGGGGCAGTAAAAATTCTGTGGGGCTTCTGGGTTTGTCCTGCTTAGTGGGAGAGCTGCTTTATTGTTTTACTCATTAATCTATATTATACAAACTTTGCTTTGCACACACATGGTTATCAGCATTTAGCCCACTACCTGGCACATAGTAGGCACAATAAATGTTTGTTGACTGACTCACTGACTGATTTAGACAGGGACTGGATCCATGATTTCATTGGGATAGGGAAATCCCAGATGAAGAAACTCACTCTGCCAATATAGATAGGAATTTTAGCTGTATCTTATCCATATTTGAGATAAGAGATGTTAGGCGTCTTGCCCAAGGTCACCTAGCCAGTATTTGCCAGAGGCAGGTCTTGAATTCAAGATTCCTTGGCTCTGGGGCCAGCCAGCTATCCATTATACCACCCTGCCTCTTGATCTCAAAAGGCATCTGCAATTCAAAATAAAACTTTGGGGGGAAAATGAGTTAGAATTTCAGAATTGGAAGGGACCTTAGGGGCCATATCTAAACAAGAATTCTGTCTACACCCTATCTGACCAGTGGTCAATCTGAGGTGGTCCCTTCTATCTGGGGACAGCTCCGATTCTCTGGAAGTTTGTCATGGCATCCAACCTGCCCATTCACGTCAATGTAGATCTGATTTAGCAGGTTATAAATCCACCCCCTTCCCACTAGCCTCCTCTTCCTTCTGATTGGAGGGCTGGAGAGTGAGGTGCCAAACTCTTCCCAAAGCCTTCCTTTACAAAGGGCAGAAACTGGCCTCAGCTTGCTCTGCTTTCCATTTGCAGCTCTGCTGGATTTCAGCTCCATGGTACGCCGTGGTGTCTCTTCCCTCATCCCTTCCCAGCTTTCTTACGTGTGCTGTTTTCCCCCTTTAGACTGTAACTCCCTTGAGGGCAGGAACTGTTTTTCTTTTTCTTATTTGTATTCCCAGCGGGACCAGACAGTGAGGCTGGTGACCTTACACAGCTCTCCCTCACTCAAATCAAAGTCAATTGCAAATCACGTCATCATCTCTCTGACGTCACGGTCCTCTTCACGAACGAAGGACAAACACGACAATTCCCAGCACTTAACACAGTGTCTGGCACATGTAGGTGCTTAATAAATGTTTATTGAAGGGACGGCTAGATGGCACAGTGAATAGAGCACCAGCTCTGGAGTCAGGAGGACCTGAGTTCAAATCCAGCCTCAGACACTTGATGCTCATTAAATATGTGACCCTGGGCAAGTCACTTCACCCTGATAGCCTCAGTTTCCTTATCTGTAAGATGAGCTGGAGAAGGAAATGGCAAACCACTCCAATATTTCTACCAAGAAAACCCCGAATGGGGTCATGAAGAGTCGGACACTACTGAAAAATGACTAAACAGCACCAAATCCCCTTGCTGTTACCTGACTGCTTCTGCTACTAATTTCTATCTTTTTTTTTTTGGCTAGGCAGTGGGGTTAAGTGACTTGCTCAGGGTCACACAGCTAGTAAGTGTCAAGTGTCTGAGGCCAGATTTGAACTCAGGTCCTCCTGAATTCAGGGCTGGTGCTCTATCCACTGTGCCACCTGGCTGCTCCTCTGCTACTAATTTCTTCACACAATTTCATCAAAACAGTTTTTTTTCCCTACAAAACTGGATCAATTCCTACTCAGGCTTCTGCCAAGTTCTTCAATGTCTTCATCAAATCAGACTCAGTCTCTTTCTCTGCCCCCTATTATCTTTCAATTGCCTTAATCAGAGCCTCCTAGCATTCAATGACCCACCTTTCACTTATATAACATAATGACCCACCAAGTTTTCCCAATGAAATCAACAGGCCTTATTTAATCCCACCTCATCTCCAAATAGTCATATTTTAGTCATATTATTTTTTCTTTCCTTTTTAGTTTAGTTTAGAAGGACCATATTGCTCTATAGCTCTAAGCTCTCAACATAGCCTACCATCTCACTGTGTCCTTGAAACTGTTTCATATAGTTCTGTTGTTGTTCAGTCATTTTCAGTCATCTCTAGCTCTTTGTGACCCCATTTGGAGTTGTCTTGGCAAAGATACTGGAGTGGTTTGTCATTTCCTTCTCCAGCTCATTTTACTGATGAAGAAACTGAGGCAAACAAGGTGTAGTGACTTGCCCAGGGTCACACAGCTAGTAAGTATCTGATGTCAGATTTGAACTCAGGAAGAGGAGTCTTTCTGACTCCAGGCTGACATTCTATCCATTGCACTACCTTGCTGCCCATAATAGTTACATTTTCTCAATTTTTAAAAAATAAAAGTTTTTCTGTATGCCTCTTTAAGTCATCAAACTGTCCATATAAAAGGAGACATCAATCCACATCCTTTACAAGGTGATTTGAGTTTTAATATTTATACAACTGTTTATTTTCTGTCTCAATTTATTTAAATCTTATTTGAAAATGGTTTCTTCATACATATGTTAGCATTATTATTAAACTAAAGGTTTCTTCCTGCTTTTTTCAGTTATCAAAATATCCATCTATGACAGAGGCAATACCTTACAGCATTTACCAGTTTATTTAAATCTTTTCCTTTATGCAAAACACTTTTTCTGTCTCTTTCAGCACTAAACTGCTCCAGAGGAAAGGACCAGTATCTTAAAGGGAAAGTATCCTACACATACAAAATAAATACAAGGAAATTTTTTTTTTGTAAAAAAACACTAGCACATGGAGAAACAGAAAAGGCTCTGTGTGAGAGGAAGAGCATACTGAGGTTTGAGAAAAAAGTAGTGATGCTAAGAGATCCGGTTAGAATCGTTAGGCATTCAGGGTATGGGGGAAGCCTCCCAATCAACCAGGCATACAACTTGGGTGTCATTCTCCACACCTGACTCAAACTCTCTGAACATATCCATTCTGTTGCCAAGTCTTCTTGCTTTCACCTTTACAAAATCTCTCATATACTCGCCTTCTCTCCCATCACCTGTCTTCATCATCTCTCCCCTGGACTATTGAAATTGCCTAATTGGTCTCCTTCCTTCTAATCTACTGATCTCTAATCCATGCCCTACAACCGTCAAATTAATGTTCCCAAACAAATCTCATCTTCAAATTCTTCATACACATATTTTAGCAATTTTAAAAAAGATTAAACCAACATTCTTTTCGTACTCCTTTTAGAAGTCAAACTGTTCATTTGTGAAAAAAGTAGTATTTTATATCTTTTACCAATTGGTTTGATCAGACTTTTTTTCTGATTCTGAGGATCACAGAATCTCAGATTTGGAATAGACCTCGGAGACCAAGTCCAACTCTGATCTGAATAAGTATTCCTCCTTCAGCCCAGCTGATATTCAGTAATTCAGCCTCCAGTAAGGAGAACTCCCAAGACAGCCTATATTAGTAGAAAGTTCTTCCTGAGGTCAAACCTAAATCTGCCGCTTGGCTGCTTCTACATATTGCTCTTGGTTCTGCCTCCTGGAGCCACACAAGTCCAAACCCTCTTCCATTTGACAATCCTTCAGATACTTAAAGCCAGCTATAATGTTCCCTACCACCTCCCCAAGTCTTCTCCTCTCCAAACTAAACATTTCTAGTTCTATCAGCCAATCCTCATATGGCAGGAAATGGACGCGTGTTGAGCTTGCAGTCCACTAAGACTCCTGGAGACAATGTCAAAAATGAAATTGTGATAACATTTAACAATATTAACACTCAGACAGCACTTGTCTCTGCTAAAATATACTTTGGTTCAAAGTAGAGAGATAGTGCAAGACGCTTAGGGAATGCTGCCACCTAGTGGCAGTCAGAGAAAGAGCCCTGGTGACATAAATCAATCATTTGGCATCTTTTTTAGAGTCAACATTCCAGTATTATTGAAAATGATCAGGGCATTTGATTTAACTGTGATTAAATCAATAAGCATCTGTTATCAATCAATTAACAAACATTTATTAAACATTATTTATTAAAAGTCTAATTTAATGTCATTTTGTCAATCTTCATCCATCCTTCTTGACCTTTCTACAGTCTTTGACACTGCTGATCACCCTCTTCTCCTTTTCTCTAGAATTTTCTCTTGGTTCTCCTCCTACTGTCTGATCACTCCTCTGTCTTCTTTGCTGGATCTTCATTCAGGTCATGGCCTACTACCCAAGGGTAGCTCACTGGGATCTGTCTTCTCCTTTACAGCTTCACTTGGTCATCTCATTAGCTTTCATGGATTTAACCATCTCTTCTATGTAAATGATTTGCAGATAAATTTGTCCAACACTAATCTCTTTCCTGATCTGCACTCTTGCCTCTCCAACTGCCTATTGGATATTTCAACCTGGATATCTCATAGACATCTTAATCAACATCTCCAAAAATGAATCAGAAATATTGTTCTCTACAAACATGGAAGATGACATGGTTTCCTATTTTGGCAGCTTCATTAGTGTGAGTGTGGGGAACTCCCAGTATGAGAGCTTCTTCCTCCAAGCTGTATCATATTAGAACTACTCTATCACTTCTGAGGTTGCCAGGAGCATCAAGAGATTAAATGAATTGCCCAAGGGTGACACAGTCAGATGAATCAGAAGTAAAACTTAAAGCAAACGCTTCTTCAATCCAAAGCTAGCTAGCTACCTGGGAAGGGACAGGGAGGAAAACTGGTCATGCTAAACCTGAGATGGTGGGAAATAGCAAGCCTATTTTTTAAAAATGCAATAAGCTGCTGATGCTCTTGGAAGGGATGTAAATAGGGTACTTTAAGGTTACATACCTGAAATCATTTGATTCTCACTGTTGTGAAATAGACATCATTGGGCCTATTTTGTTGTTGTTCAGTTGTCTCAGTCATTTCTGACTCTTCGTGACCCCGTTAGGGTTTTTCTTGGCAAAGATGGTAAAATGGTTTGTCCTTTCCTTCTCCATTTATAGATGAGGAAACTGAGGCAAACAGGGTTAAGTGACTTGTCCAGGGTCATACAACTAGTAAGTGTCTGAGGCCAGATTTGAAGTCAGATCTTTCTGATTCCTGTCCTGTGATCTATCCACTGTACCACCTCACTGCCCTGGGCTCATTTTATAGATAAGTAAGCTGAGACTCAGAGAGAAGTGACTTGGTAAGCTTAAGTCAAGGTTCTTTATCTCTGAACTTAGTACAGAGGACCTGAAATGGGTTAATTTCAGAAACCCAGCTCTCCTGCTAATCACTGATCTATTCTAGCTTCAAGAAATTTTACAAACCTTGGGGAATATGTATGAAAGGAAAGGAGTTGGGCCTGATATTTTAATCCACCAAGTTATCCTTCAAGGATGTCTGGTTTGCTATCTAAAAGTCTGAGCTGCTATCTTGCATCTGGACTCAAACAATGAACACTTCTTAGTCTCATGAGAGAAGAATGGGGTTTATTGCTAGCCTCCATTACCAGACTTCCAACCAATCATGTCATTCCCTCCACCTCAGCTCTGTAACCAATCATGTCGTCCTTACTCCCATGAGGTCATCTACCTCTTTCTGTTCTTTGTTCTGTACTTACTCCCCCAAACCTATCAATGGGAGCTGACCATCTCCTTGGAGTCTTTGGCAGAAATGGAAGCAATCCACAGACCAGTAGCATGCCTCTGCCAATGTTATCTTGCTTGGAGCTCTGCCTCGGTTTACCTTTTTGTTAAATTCCAAATACAACAGTCAGCACTTAATAAATGCTCATTGGCTGACTGAAAGAAAAAGCACACTTTCCATCAAACTGAACATCTCCCCTCCCATTTCCTCATTCCCTCCCTATCTGCCTGTTCTAGATTCTTTCACACATGTTCTTCCCCAGACTTCTGTCTTCCCAAAGGCAGGCACTGAGCTGATGACTTCCAGATTCCATTTCCCTTCAGTATATAACCACGGTGTTTTATATTTGCTTTAAACAAATAATAAATGGGACCTGTGATTTCATCAGTGCACGGAACTTCCTTTGTGGAAACTCTTACCCCAAAGGCAACTCAGGGACTTACAGAATTGCCTCAGACATTAAGGGGGTAATTGAGCTACCCAGGGTCACACAACTAGGATGTGGAGGAGGAAGGACTTGAACCCAGGTCTTCATGACTCAGGGTCAGCTCTCTATGGACTTGGTCTTTGGCTCTAAAATACATTTTCAAAATGTGCAAAATCATATATCTTGGTGACAGGGGGTGGGGAGAGGGAAGGAGAGGGAGAGGAAGGAGACCTGACATGAACCAAAAGAGCAAAGACTTAATAAATGTGGACTAGGAGTGACTGGAGGGAGCCTGTTTGATGAAATCAGAGCTCTGCCTGTCAGACAATAGAAGGAAGAATCAAAGGCTGAGGGTTCTGAGGAACCAGTGTTTCTGCCATTAGTGTCTATTTAGAAGAGGAAAAAGGGAGGAAGGATTGTTCCCAGTCATTTTCATAGCTGTGCTCTTGTATTCTGGACTTCACCTATCTCTCTGGGCACCTGGGCTGGTGATCATTCACCATTTCTAGCCCACCTCAGATTCCCTACATGAATGTTCTCTGCTCATCTTTGAGCCACACTTTTACCCAAACTTCTCCCTGGCTACTTCTATCATGCGGTATTTTCCTCTATCAGAACTGAAGTTCCTTTTATTTCTTTTTTACTGGTTGTGAATTCACCTTATTCATTTTTTCATATTGGTAATTTTATTGTCTTCTTTCTTTCCTGAATTAAATTAATTAATGGATTATCTATATTATTGGATTTTTAAAAACTAATAGTTTTATTTATTAGTTTAAAGGTTCCTTTGATTTTCAGGATTTTTATTTTGGTGCTTAATTGGGATTTTAAAATTTGTTGGTTTTCTTGACCATTTGTTTTTTAGTTGCACAACCAATCCATTGATCTTCTCTCTTTATTGATGAACACATTTAGAAATAGAAATTTCCCCCTTACATGTTGCTTTGGCTGTATCCCTAAAATTGTGGTACATTGTCTCGCTGGATCCATTATTTTTGTGATTTATTAATGTGTCCTTTCTTTAGAATTCAGCTTTTTAGTTTCCAATTACTTTTTAATCTTGGCTTCAGAAGCCCTTTATTGAATGTCATTTTTACTACATTATGTTTAGTAAAAGATATATTTAACATTTATGCTTTTCTGTATCTGTTTGTGAGATTGTTATGCCCTAATACAGATAGTTTTCACTTTGCAAAAGTGGACTGTTCTGCAGACCTCTATATAAAGTGATTTTTATATAATGTGAATTTGACCACGATCATAGGGAAGAGAGGGAAGTAGAGGGGCAGGAAGGGGGCCAGCATATGGTTCAAGGAGATGTGGCAGCTGAGGACTGAGAAGGAAGGAGGAACACTTGGGGGCCAGGGCTAGCCACTTGAAGGCCTGGCTGGAACCAAGGGGAAGAACATACATAGGGCAGATATATAGGGGCCAGATATAGACACAGACAGGAGAGGACAGGTGACATGTGGGGGTTGGGGCAGACAAGTGGTAGTTGAGTACAGATAGATGGAAGATAGACACACAGGGGCTAGGCACAAAAGCGGGTAGATGGAGCAGGGCAAAGGTCTCCTTTCTCAGCACCAGAGGTCTCAAGCCAAGCTCCTGATCTAGTGGCAGCAGTGGTGGTGGTGGTCTCTCCTTGTGTTCATTCTTCTGCTTTCACTTGGAGAATTTGGACTTTTTTTTTGGTGGGGGTGGTGGGAGGCTTTGGAATGTTGAACTGAGGGGCATGAATGGAGAAAGAAAGAGAGAGAGCACAGTACTATACAGCAAAGTTAACATAGGTGTTTTTTATGGAATGTGTATTTCTTTCTGGATTCTTTACATAAAGGTGAATTTGCATAATGTGAATTTATGTTAATTTACGCAAAGCTGAGAAATAGGTATACTCCTTTCTATTCCCATTCAATATTCTCCAGAAGTTTAGTGTATCTAACTTTTTAAAAATTCTATTCAGATCCTTTCTTGTGTATTTTTTGGTTTAATTTATCTGAGAAGGTCTGAGAAAAGTAAATTGAAGCCACCACTATTATAGTTTTATATATTTCTCCCTGCAATTAATTTGATTTTTCCTTTAAGAATTTATATGCTGTGTCATTTGCTGCATATATGTTTACTACTGATACTAATTCATTGCCTGTGGTGTCTTTTAGCAAAATATAGGCTTTTTTATGTATCTCTTTTGATTAGGTCTATTTTTGCTTTTGATTAGTCTGAGATCATGATTGCTACCCCTACCTTTTTTACTTCAGCTGAAGCATAATAGATTCTTCTCTAGCCTCTTATTTTAATTATCTGTGTGTGTTTCTGTTTCAAGAATATTTCTTGTAGGGCAGCAAGGTGGTGCAGTGGATAGAACACCAGCCCTGGATTCAGGAGGACCTGAGTTCAAATCCAGCCTCAGACACATAACACTTACTAGCTGGGTGACCCTGGGCAAATCACTTAACCCCATCGCCTATCCAAAAAAGAAAAAAGAATATTTCTTGTAAACAAATTGGATTCTGTTCTAATTCATTCTGCTACCCTCTTCTGTTTTATGGGTGAGTTCATCCCCATTCACATTTAGTTATGACTGCTAACTGTATATTTCCAACTATCCTACTCTTTTGTACTTTTCTATCTCTTTTTCCTCCTCCCCCTCTCTAAGAGTTTGCTTTCCTTTTTACCTAATGCTTCCTTTAGTCTACCTCACTCTTAATCTCCACCCTCTTCCTTTCCCTTAATGTCTTTCCCTCCTATTTCCCCATTGGGTAAGACGTATTTCTATGTTCAGTTATGTGTATATGTGCAAGAATGAAGCTTCTTGAGGGCGTTAACATTTTTTCTTTGTATCTCCAGCACTTAGCAATATGCTTGACAAATGGTAAGTGCCTAATTATCACTTTTTCCTTCATTCAGGGCCAGCTCCCTGTGTTATTGAAAGATGTGGGCTGGCAAACAATGTAAAGGGGGAGAGAGCATTGCTTAATTTGGTGAATCAGAAGATGGCCCATGAAGCCCTGAAGGACAACAGAGGAGCGGGAAGGGTCAAAGCCACAGGAGGAAACTGTTTACCTGGATGCAGACAAAGGTTCATATCCCAAAAGCTCAGCAGATGGTCAGGAGCTCCCCCAAATCAATGAGGGCTCTGTAGAACCAAACATCACAGCGTATCCACTGTTTCCCCAAGATGTAGGAAGAAGGCTAAGGGAAAATTTGGGGAGAGATTCCCAAGCGCTGAGTGTTGCAAGGTCACATGTATTGAACATCACTGGAAATCTCATGGATCGAATGGGACAGCCTCCAAAAAACTGAAAATAGGTGGCACAAAAAGGCATCAGAGAGGCCCATGGTGGGTTCGGAGGGTGTGAGTAGACTGCAACCAATCTAGTACAAGGAAGAAACTCCCATGAAGAGCTGGAGCAACAGATATCATCTTAGATCCATCTGAGCATCAGAGTAAATACTTATGCATGTACATAGAATCACAGATAGAGGGCTGAAGGGACCTCAGAGGCAGCTAAACAATTCAGTGAATGGAGTGCTGGGATGGGAATCAGGAAGAACTGAGTTCAAATCCAACTTCCGACACTTGCTTACTAGCTCTGTGACCTTGGGCAAGTTACATTCTGTCTGCCTCAGTTTCCTCTTTTTGTAAAATGGGGATAATAATAGCACCTACCTCTGAGGGTTGTTGTAAGTTTCTAAGGAGATAATATTTGTAAAGAGCCCTGCAAACCTTGAAGGCTACATCAATGTTAGCCATTATCATCTAGTTCTACCTCTTTATTTTACGGAAGAGGAAACTAAGGTGTAGAGAAGTGAAAAGACTTGTCCAAGGCCACACAGATAGTAAAGGCAGAGGCAGGGTTTAAAACCCAAATGCTTTCTATCACTAGCTAACTAAAAAG